CCCCATCCTCTGCACGTGCCGTTCCTCAATGAATCCCCCTTCGCTCTCTCGCTCCACCTTTTTGCCCTTCCCCACCGCCGGCACCGCATACGCCGCTTCCACGGGCTCTCTACCTTGCTTTTACGTTGACGTGACCCTAACCCCCAGCGAGGACTTCTCCGGATGCTGGCCGTACGCGCGACCCTGCACCTCTCTCTGGTTTCGATCATTCTTTACTCGTGGAGAATGTCGAACGTTGATACATGTAGACGTATAGCGGATATCTGAAAAGTATCCGTACAGCTTATTGCGTCATTTACACGTTAATTAATTAGTTCCGAGTATATCAAATTTTCTATCAGTTAGTAGTACTTTCATGGGACGAGGTTGTACGTTTCATTTTCATAGCGTCGATTAGTTTCGTTTAGGTATTGGCAAATGATAGGAAATTTCATGTACTTAAGGCTAATCGATTGGTATGTAAATGCTGTAATAAATACAACTTTGTGCTACGAATTGCTTTTGTAGCGACGGTATGCGGGCGCATACGCGAGAAATGTAATTGGTGAAAGTACGACGGGCCGAACGAGTTTCTTTAATGAAAGAAATAGGTGCTTACTCGTTTGGGTTTTGTTCTGAAGATGATCTGAAATCATAGCTGGACTGCGGATGATTGCGTATTTACGGAGAACTTAAAGACGGCACGATTCGTAGAATATTTTAATCAGAGATAACGAGTTTATTATTTAAATATCAACATACGTTAGAAAATAAAAAAAAGCATCGATCGGTTGATTCGTATCAATGAATTTCTAATTTCGTGGCTGTAGAAGATTTTGTTCCACATACGACTCGTTTGACAGGTTAAAAGTACCGATAGTGTCGTTGTGTTCTATTACGAGAAACTTACCCCCTAATTTCTGTCCTTCTGACCAGCCCACCTAACAGCCGTTTCACCCCTCGCGGCCGGCTTACCGAATTGCGTCATACTGTTACCAGAGACGCGAAATTCGAGACCCTCACCAGCTCGTTATATGCTGTTCTTGCATCGATCTCGTCGGATAACGCGAGAGTGGCAAAAACCGTAAGTCAAAGGTAAGCGATATGGATCGGAGGGGTGGTAGAAATGCAGCGAGGAACAGGGAGTCTCTCCTTGGGCTTTTTATATCTTCGATTTTTCTTACACGTGCATTGTTTTTCTTTTTGTCTCGTCCGATCGATCGTGCTATTCTTCCATTTGTTTGTATTGAAACTCTATCTAACGTCGTCACTAATTTTCTTCAGTCATCGTCTGCTAATATTTTAACAAAGTATACGCTCTTGGAAACAATTAGAACGACGTTCTCCATGTAATTTCCATTTTTACAACCTTTCCTCGCGTCTGTATTTTTTTATCTTAATCATCATATTAACCTATTGACCGGATCATCCCTTAGTCAGAAATTTGTATAATCGTGCAATTGAAAGATAATGTGTTCTTTAAGCTAAATCAATTTCAGTTACGTAGATTTCTCTATCCTTAGAAGATATGATGTAATTTATAGAAGACACGTAAAAGATTAGAGAGTTGCTCTGATTTGTTGATCAGGAGCACATAAATATTTCTTCAAATAAATTATTTCATCTAGAAAACCGATAACCTGAGCGCGGCCAGTTAATTGGCCTTTTTCATATGAATTTATCAAGCTTTTCCGAACGTGTCCAACCTATCAACGTTATAAATCTTCTTTCCATGTACTTGGTCGTGATAGAATCATTCGCGGTATCGATCCTTCAATTATTTCAGGCGTTGTACATATTTTTGTTTCTCAGTCCTTTTATTGATCTTCGAGAGCCCATTGAGAAATTGTCTCCTGAAACTCGTCGACCGCAAACTCGTCACGAGATATCGACTCACTTACGGAGCATCCGTGACCGATTTTGAAAAGTTTCACACCGATCTTCGCATATACTCGCAACCAGACACCTACGTGTAAGTACGCGTCTATGGAGTCGAGCCACGAGCGAAGCAGCAACAGGTTTAATCGCGTCGGGGTGTGGCTGACTGGCTGGCCGGCTCCGCTCATTCGGCTGCCCTCCGTTTGATGCTGGTTTATAAGATCGATGCGACACACACTGGGTATCGTTGCGCGGCGCGAATGAAAGCGGAATGCTCGTTTTGCCGCGTCGATGCGCCACTCGTCCGCCGAGGAGAACCTGGACGCTGGCCTGGAAATTAGAAAAAAAAGAAAAGAAAGAAAAAGATGGACGAAGATAAATACGCTGGATTTCTCGGTGATCGCGTTTTGCCTGTCTTTTTCTCTGGCTCGGCTAAGGAAAATCGACGTATCCTGTGTCTGCTCTCCTATCGCATATTTCATATCTCGTTCCTTTTATCTCGTTCCTAACCTAAACGAAATAAATCAGAAAATAATAAAGAGAAACGAAGAGAAAAGAAATCGAGGAATACAGCGTGGAAAAATTATCCGAGTATATAAAATGCTTGAACGTTTTATCGAGATATGAATAGATGTAGGAAGACACGGTGAGTGGTAAGGGGGATGAAGCTGGCGCGCATGATCGGAAGTCGCGTCGGTGCAGTGTCGCGGCGGGGAATCAAATTTCAACAACACCTACGGTGAACCGCGGAGCTGCGAGTCGACGTTACCTGACTCATCCCATCGTTCGATCGTCCGGCCGGTCGCGCGACCCAACATGCATTTTTCTTCTTCGAGGGCCCGGTCCGGAGCTTGCATATCCACGGAGGAACTATATTTTACGACAATTTTTTTGCTCGGCTGCACGCGCGCCAGCGTATACGCGATCCTTATGTGTCGTGCGAGGAGCGCATCGTCGTGCTTGTCAGTCGTTAGTGGGAGGGATGTCTAGTGCCGGGAAGGGAAGGAGAAGGAGAAATGGTTTAGGAGTTACGGAGCGAGACGGAGACGGGACGAGAACGAGATGTAGGCATCCGATGGCTCGGTGTAGAAGCGAAATGGAAAGATCGAAAGAGAAAGCGGGAAACAGCTCGCGTCGAGACGAGGACGGCGCCATCGAGAAAGAGAGTAAAACAAAGGAGCGAAAAGGAGACAGAGATCGCGAAGAACGAGAGGGAGATACGACGAGTACGTTGGCGGGAGAAGGATGGTTAAGAGTGGTGAAAAAGAACGTCGGGTAGAGGAAGAGTGGATGGAAACAAGATGGAGAATGATGGTGGGAGAAGGATAGAAGGTATCACGAAGTGCAGAGGAGGCCTCATCTCGATCTTGGTCCTATTTATAGACGTGCTCTCACAGCCTCACTCCTGCCCACTTCTTGCACTGTCTCTCCTATATAGGTGTGCATACACCTATGTAGTGGCCATTGCACGTTCTCTACACGCGAGAGCCAGCGAGCCGGCCAAAACTTCGTTCGTCCGAGCGCGAAGAATCGATGACGTGGACCCTCTCCTGTTGAACGTCGAAACGCTGGCTGCCACCGCTGGTAGAGAAACCTATCCACTTCTGGAAGACATCATCGTTTTCCGTTAATTAGCCGATTACGGAAACGATATTACGGAACGGTTTCGTCGTGACCGGTAGCACAAACCGGCGTGTCGTCTTTCTCGGCTCCTCTGAATCATATGGATTACCTTTTTTGGAAGAGACAACGTCGCCCCGGGCAACAAACGAGACGAATTTTTTATTCCGACGTGTTTTAGCATACCATACCTTGAAACCGTTTTTTCTCTCTTCCTGGAAATTTTTATCTTACAACTTCAAGCGACGTTGTTTGCATTACACGCAGGCCATATTACATATCGTACCATATGTACCAGATTTCGATCACGCGTTTTCACCTCGTCGTTCCTTTCGAGTTTGGAAAACCAAGCAATAATAATTCTCTCTTTAAGGAATCGTAAAAGGAACTCGATCACGAACGAAATTTCAGCAGTGAACCGGACGGAGCTGAACTGGCTTCGATCAATGGCCGATCGATAAAGAATCTATCGACGATGGAGGTAGAGAAAAATTGGCACGCGCGACCACTACTAATTGCCAGTTGTTCGTGATTCGTATCGCGCTGCAGCGAAAAATCGAGATAAGCGTTAGTCGGAAAGTCCAATCGGTTTAGGCGCCAACCGCGTGTTTATGGTGAAAGGTTGCATGGAAAACACGGCACAACGGAGCGGCGTTTCATCGAGATCGACTAGTCTCGTTGCAACGGGGACCGGTCCTTATTAATCTCTAGGTGGCTGCCTTTTGAACGCACACCTCGGAGGAACAATAGTTCGGTCGCGTAGGATGCGGTTCGCTGTATCGACATCCTTGATCGTCGATGCCCTATTCGGTAATTGTCGATGATCGATAAAGATGTCTGCGGTCGATGAATGTGCCTGACGCTAACGCGCAAAAGGGAAAAATAAATTGGCGATGTAACGACACTCGAGAAATCGTTCAACGTGACAAACGACACTATTGCATACCATTATGCTCATGAACATATTATAAATATGCGTTTCGAACGATTTATAGCGTTATAGCTTTCACAGATCGCGAACCCCGATAAACTCGAAATATAAACTCTAATATATCGAAAGCCTCGGAAGAGTGGAAGGTATATCGAGAGCATCGAAAACGAAACGTGCTTTCAGCTTTAAACTCTGTTCCTCGCTATCCGCGTTTAAAGGTGATAAAACGAAGAGGCGAAACATTTCAACGGGTCTTGCGGTCGACGATTACGAGCGTCGACGTATCGTTTCAAGGAGTTTGTGCCGTACCACGGGGAAATAAGAACGATCAGGCGTTGCTGTTCAATGTTAACTTTGTATTTTTGTTAATAATCGTCGTGGGGAACCGGCCAGATTAAACGGCAACGATGATTACAACACAAATATACAGGTAGTCGAGAGATTCTTTTCTGTGCATTGCACACTCGGAGCACCATATTGTGGAATAGTTACACATAATTTATCCAATTATAGTGTAATTATCGTTCGTAAAAAAATTGTCCTCTCTATTCCTCTTTTCTCATTATCTTCGTTTCTTTCATTAAATGTTTTTTCTTTCTCGTTCTCTTTCATACACGTACACATTTATACACGCATACACACGTACAGGCAGACACAGGCATAATCTCTCTCTCTCTCTTTTTCTCTCTCTCTCTCTCTTTCTCTCTTTCTGCTTTTTTATTTCACGAGAACGCGCGTGCGCGTTATACGCTCCTCTGCCTACATATTTTCCGATCTATCTAGAACAATAGCGGATAATATCGCATACGCGTCGGTGCAACCATCGTTGAAGTAGGTAGAGAGCGCGTAAGAACGCTTGGGATCCATAAAAGCTGTACGCGTTGCCGCGCGTTTCGTTATTAATTATAACTGTTATTTAATATAATTATAATATAATAATCATAATAAAAATAATCCTTTAATTTTAACAATATATATATATATATATCTCCTCTGTTCATATATATATTATATATATCATATATATATAATATAGATACATGTAACTAGGGAGAGAGACTTTGTTTTTTTGTTAATAAATAGAGCAACATATACATAATATTAATCGCCGCTAAAACTCATATTTTATACACGTAAACGATCACGATGGAGAGGGGGGAGGGGCGGGAAGAGGACGAGAGGAAAGGGGGAGGGGAAAGTAGGGCGGCAAGATTAAAAGGAGGAAAGTGAAAGATTTTACGGGTTTCTCTCTCTGTTTGTCGGCACGATTCGATTAGATGTAACCTATGTGTACATATGTATAACACGTTATATACATATTTACAAAGGAAAACTCCCGTTCAACAACGATGATCGCGATTAATTACAGTTTACTCGTTTGGGGTTTGTTGGCGGTTAAAAGAGGGTTAATTCACAAGGGGAAGGGTGGCGCGTCTGGTATTTAACTTCCAAGAAGCTTAGGGACTCTACGAAGTGACTTCTAACGCTGAAAGGAATTTTCAAGGGGGAAACGGGTAGCAAGGAGTGGCAAGAGAGTTCCCTAGGACACGGGAAAAGTCCGAGATTTAGCGTGTCCGGGGCACGAAGGGTGTCGTAGGAACGAGTGAACGAGTTTCAGAGGTAGAGGACGATAACAAATATGTAAGAAGCGATTATTACGATTGTATGATTGAAAGACACGAGGTTCGAGGACGCAAAGTAGTGTGTGTGTATGTAATACCGATCGTCCGTCGGTGTCGGTCGCATCTTGCAAACGTGTCAGGGTCTATGCCCTCTCATAGAATCGCGATGCCGATCGTAATGGATATCGAACTACATTTTCATTCTCTTTTTTCTTTTTCATTCGTCGAGTGTCGTAATTTATAAAAATACTTAGAAAATATCCTGAAAACATTTGTGGAATCGGGCACGATTCGAAAATTGCACGATTATTGGCCGAAGGAACGAACACTCGGGTAAAAGGATCGAAAAACATCGACCGGTTCCGATCATGAGAGAGCTGGGAAAAGTTGATACGCGATCCCCTGATCGTTTCAAGAAGCGCGCTCGCGCATGGCAATTTTTTTTTTCACGCGCTCGTTTGCATGCGATCGAGAGTGCGCCGTCTCTTTCTCTCTTTTCTTCTCCATCGGTAAATTCCTCCCTGATTCCCGGAAGCTGCGGGCGGTATCGATTCTACGCGATTCGTCGGAGAACCTGGCTGCAGTATATTTCGTGACACCGGAATATTTCGCGTGCGTATCTACGCGCGGTTAACGTCGATTTTCGCATCTGCATCTCGTTCTCGATCGCAAACAAGGGTATAAAACGCAACCGTCGTAAATAACGATCTTCGACGCGTCGCTCGCTTCGAGCATCCTCCCTGACTTTCTTCTTCTCTTTTTCTTTCTCTCCCGTTCTTCCCGTTTACCGCTAAAAGCACGAGCATTCCGATACCGACAATTGTCGAGGAAACAGTACCTCTTGGTAAAGCTAGATTTTTCACTCGTATTCGTTTCTACTCCTTCTAAATGCAACTTGGCGTAGTAAACTTTCAATTTTCTTCTCTTCCTTATGCAACGTATTAACCGTAGGCAAAAGGGACGGGAGTGAAAGAAATAAACTGAGATGAGAGCTCGCAGGAAAACCGCCGGAGTCTAATATACATATATGTATATATATATTTACCGCAATGTTCGTGTTTCCTCGACGAAGGTTCGCTTAGCGAGATCAGGAGAAAAGCTTCGAATCGATCCGTTCTGTAAGACGCGACGAGCCCATCGTCGGGACCGATCACACCGGACATTTATTTTACATACCGCTTTGAAATTCTAGTCCCGATTAAAAATTATCCACGATTATTTACAAAGATTTTATGAAAATCCTCCGCGATTGTTCCTTACGTACTATTATCCGAGAGGCTCGGTATCACGCTTCGTTATACCGCCAAAAATGCTTGTCGATTCGGTCGCTAGGCTAATCCGTTAAAGTCGAGCCCCACTCGTCGATCGCTGACGGTGCCGACGACGGATCGATGACGGATCAGTCGGTGACGGCAGTCTGTTCCGCCTAAAGGTCTCCGTCGTTTCCTCGTCGCCTGGCAAGGTGAAAAAGCTGCGTCGTGCACGAGCATGATTGACAAGATTAAAGGAATGAGCGTGGAGATCGACGGTATCGACGATCGATCGATATCGATCGTCGTATGAAAAATGTGGATCGATTCTGCGACACAGTTCATTCAAATTCTTCTTACTGATTGCACGGCGGAGAAGCGTGGCTCTGAGGGTGATTTCTAGCGGTGGCGTGGGTGGCTTCGCGCTTCAGCCTCTGTTTCAAGTGAACTTTCGCGTGCCGTTTCTTCTCGTCGCTCCTCGCGAATTTTCGGCCGCATTGATCACAGCAGAACGGCTTCTCGCCGGTGTGGGTTCTCACGTGAGTGGTCAGGTGATCGCTCCTCGAGAAGGAGCGCATACAGATGCGACACTGGAACGGTTTCTGGCCGGTGTGGATGCGGATGTGCCGGGTGAGCTCGTCGCTGCGAGAGAACCTGCGATCGCAGCCGTCCACGGGGCAAGCGTACGGTCGCTCGTGCACCGGTGTTTTACTCGGTCGATTCGGATACTTCCGCGGCTTCACCGGGACCAGCCTGAGCGGCAGAGCACTCTGCTGGTAAACTTGCGAGAGAATCTCGTGCCCCTTCGACGTGCTGGGGTTGTATTCTGCTAGCTGCACTCCCGTTGTACCAGCCGACGGTGGTGCTTGTTGCTGCTGCTGTTGAGTGGGTTGAGGTTGCTGCTGTTGTTGTTGCTGTTGGACGGCCGGTGGGTAGCCGCCCGTGGGTTCTTGCTTCAGCGTCGTCTCTTG